CATGGGCATTAGAGGAAGAGAGAACAGTAGTGTGGAAGACCACAGTGAGGAATTAGTGAAATTAGACATTTTTTCTTGGTGGAATTTGATGAATTTATTCAGCAAATATTTACTGAGTATGTCTGGCATTGCGACAGATATTTGAGGTATAAAAATAATTATGATACTATACCTACCCATAAACAACTTGTTGTTTATCAGGGTAGGAAGTTAGACTTGTTAACATAATTATAATAGGGTGTGGTAGAGACTGTACAAGAGTAAATATAATCAAGTATTATGGGAACATGGGAGATGGAGTCTAGAAGCTGGACTCCAGGGAATGAGCTGTAATTGAGGATTTATAAGGAAAGTGTCATTTAACATATTTTTTGGTTAAAATGAAAAAAAATTTAAGAAGGTACCTAGGTAGCAGATAAACAGATTAAGGGGTCTCAAGTTAAATATTGAAAGGAGTTGGGAAGGGGCAGGATCTGTTAGGAAAGGGAGATTCTGAACTGGGTGAAGATGAGAGTGCAGGGTGACAGGTCAGAGTGGCTCACACTTTGAGTTACGCGTGTAGATCGTTGGAATGAGGCAGTGAGTGGCGATAGGCAGGGTATGAGTAAAACAAGCCTACTTCAAGATGCCACTTAGATGTAGGTGTGAAGTTACAGTTCCTCTGCAAACGCCACCAGGTATATTCAGGAACTTTTTTTAATTGCATTTTTCCCATTACTATTTATCCCCCACCCCCCTCCCCTGCAGTCACCACACTGTTGTCTGTGAGTCCTTTTTCCTTTTGGCTTGATCTTTCCTCCTCCATGAACTTTCAGAATTACCCCAAATTATATAACAGTAAAAATTCACCTAGTACCTGCTTTCTTTAAAAAAATTTTTTAAAGGTGATCTGAGACTTTTTTGGTAGTACCTTGTGATCAGGAAGTGTTACATAGAAGGTGCTTAATAGTTGTGATGTGAAAGACTTCTCTTTTCTGCAAATATTAGTAGACTTATAAACTTGTATTAATAATAGGTAAGAACAAAATAGGTTAAGTTTAATGTATTTGGTCTTTTTGTCATGCTTGCCATTCTTTGAGAATGGTTTATAGGTTTTATGAATTATGAAGCCATGAGTATTGTAACCATGATTTAAGAAAAGCTCTTTTAGGTAATAGAAATACGTGTAGATATACCACGTCTACATTTTCTTTTATACCATGTAATGGATTGGCAATTAATAAATATTGAATGGTAAATAAAGCAGTTGTTGGTAGCACATTGCCTATCCAGACTTTCTTTTTTCTCTCCCTCTTCTACTTCTCCTTTCCCACTTTCCCCTGTATTTTCCCTTCCTCCACCTTTATGGGTTTTATATACCAAGGATACCTATTATAATTCATAGCCATTGCTTATGTCCACCAGTAACACTCAAAGCTAGAAAAAATTATCTATTAAAATAATATGCTTTGAAGTTAGTTTTTAAGGTGTAGGTGGTAGCTCAAATTAAATGAACCATTTTTTCTTTTGTTTATATTGTGCTGGTTAACATTCAGCCTTATTTATTTATAGTTAAGACTGTCATTTCAAGGAAAACAACTTACACCATTTGTTGTCAGTAATATAATTCCAGCTCTCAGAGGAAAATTAGAGTTTTAGAAAATTTGTATTTGCTACTGTGAACTTGACCGCTTCCAAAACTTAAAAGACCTTTCTGATGAGATCAGTGATCATATTAATGAATGATTCCTTATCATAAAATGAAGTGTGTCAGCATTCGATCATTGTAGTTACAATGAAGTTACAAAGTCAGGTCTGGGTAAAATTCATTAAAAATAAAGATACGTCAATGAATTTTGATTTAGCAGAGTATTAAAAGTTCATTGGTAGAGTTTCAGTTTCTTCCTTGAAAGAACTATAAGAGACTACCATTTGGCAAATTTTTGTATAGTACCAAAGAAAAATATAGACAATTTTTCAACTACATGTTTGGCAAGGCCCAATTTTCTTCATAAATATCAACCAACATATTATAGATTGAATGCAGGAAGAGATGTGAGAATCCACCTGTGTTCCATTGTTAGACATTAAAAATATATGTGAAAATGTGAAATACTTTTCTCGCTAAAGATGTTTGTTGAAAAATAGACGTTTTGCATAAAAATGTTATATTTGTTAGCATATAATGGGCTCATTTATGAATAAAATTTTAAAATGTTTTAGATGTCTTAGTTCTAATGTCTAATCCAAAATGTCAGTTAATGTAAGCCACACAAACTTAAAAGGTCTTTGAGGTCCCTAAGGATTTAAAAGAGTAGGAGGTCCTGACACCCTGTGTTTAGACACCTCTGTAGCAGGGTGCCCTATTCCAAGTGGAGAGGAGGGAAGGGTGCCTGATTATCGTTGCCCATTCTGCCTGTAGTCATGAAGTACTTCATTTGAATATTAAGTCTTGTTTAGAGATTGTTAAAAGGGAAAGCAAAATTGCTGTTGGAGTTCACTCCTGTGGACTGGGGAGACTCCAAGTCTTCAGCAGCAGCATCTTCTTGACCCTCCTTCCAGGTATTCTTGTGTAGCTGGTGGGGAACAAGCAGGGGGGAATGGAAACATCATCAGCACCAAACCAAGTTAATGGTTGCTGGAAAAGCTGAGCACTACCATCTAGTGTAAATCATGTTACTGGTAATCTTTCCTGGGACATTACTTTGGGGGTGAGATGAAGGAAGAGGAAGAATTACTCTCTGTTCCTAAGATACAGTTTAACGAAATGTATTACTGAGGAGGAACTGAGTGTTAAAAGAATGTCCTTGGAACTTCCAGTTCTTTATTTGGAAAATAACTGCTAGCCTGACTTAAAAGCTCTGCCTGCAGGGACAGCAGGGCAGTTAGCCTGTAGTGCTCCCTGGGCAAAGCATCATCACTCAGCCACGCATCCACTGAGGAAGTATCCAGGCTCTGAAAAGAAAGGAAATTAGGGTTTACTCTCATACTAGACTGCTCTTCCCACCTTAGCATATTACCTAGCAAGCTATAGGTACTTGATACACTAATTTAATCTGTTTTCAATATTTAATCACTGGGGATGTAAAGAAGACATTTCTCTCTGGAATACTTGGAGGTATCTGATCGTTGCTTTTCTAAAAAATTTTGAAAACCAGTTGGAAGGAGATGGTTAATTGCAATAACAAACCTGGTTGAAATGGAAACTATTGATTGAAGGAGAAAACCTCCAGACCAAGGGAGATAACCAAAGAAAAGGAAATTTATAATTGAGATGGCTGAATACCCACACATTTGTTGAATATTTTATCTTCTCTAAGGGAAATGGATAAAAAGGAAATACATTATCTAGAGACCTCATTGAAAGCTATCAGCAAGCAATTCACACCTCTTCCTCATGGGAGGGACCTTTAAGGTTGGAGGTGAGTTTATCTGTAGGGGCTTTTTCAAGTAGAACCACATTGCTCTGAGGCCCCCACATAGACAGGAAATAGGTTTAGCTCAGTCTTCCTATTTTAGAAAGAGTGGCATTACTGCCAGAATTACATTAAGCAATAATGATTACCAGTTTGCGAGTATGCTTAGTGTGAAAAGAACTTGGGCTTGGACCTAGATAGTTGTATTGTAATCTTTTCTGTAAATAGTATTTATTGTTTTTAAAGATTAATGTTATTTCAATGTTGCTCTTAAATAATGTATGAAAGTACTTAAGATGATGACATGGTCTCAGAGGCCATCATCTGCAGTTAGGGTAGTCTACATCATGATACAAACAACAACCTGACACACAGAAGTGTTTTGTTTGACCTTTGGAGTATTTTATTTTCTTAAATATTTTATTTTTTTATTTTTAGAGGAGAAAGGAGGGAGAAAGAAAGGGAGGGAAACATCAATGTGTGGTTGCATCTCACAATGTGTCAGCCCCCCACCAGGGACCTGGCTCGCAACCCAGGCAGGTGCCCTGACTGGGAATCGAACCAGTGACCCTTTGGTTTGCATGTCAGCACTCAATCCCTGAGCCACACCAGCCAGGGCTGACTTTGGCAGTGTTTCAAAGCTAGAAAATATTGCATAGAAATCTGGTTTTCCACTTCCTCTTGGAGAAAAATTATACAATCTGTCAAAAGTCGGTCTGCATTCTAGCTTGACAGTAATCCGCTGAATCTGGTGTCTCCAGGATCCAACAAAAAGTCATCACATTTAAGAATCTTAATTTTTATTTTCAGGACGATCTGCTATTAACCAATGTGTCTAAGTATTTTATTCTTTCCTAATAACTACGTAAAGACAATGGGGGGTGGGGTGGAGGATTGATGGGGAGGGTTGGGGGCAGATGAGAGTAATGAGGGAAAAGGGGGGACAACTGTAATTGAACAGTAAAAAAATTAGAAAACAAAAAGAAATAGTCTTGTGCCCAATCAATTCTCATGATCTTAGCAGATATTTAAACCCTTAAAGATATTAAGATGTACTACCTTGGTTTCATTTCTTTGGGGGTCTATACAATAAAATTCTCAAAATTTGGAAATTTTAGTAACCAGGTCAGCTACCACATCGTTCCAGGTGTTTTTAGCATTCTTTGGCTATAATAGCAGTGTAGATATCAGAAAATGCTAGCTAAACATTTTGCATTTTTAGACTTGTTACTGCTATAGAGTGTTAACAAATGCTCTTGACCTAAAGAGTAATTGATAGAGATTTTAGCTTTCTGTAACTTAATTTTGGAGGAACCTTAATTTTGACAAAATTGTTGAACAGTGTGTTGCTTTTCATTAATTAATATTTGGCTCCCAGATAGAATACCAAAGAAGTCATTCTCAGCCTGTTATACAAAAGTTTTGATTCATTTGCTAAAACTGCTTGTTGCATTTCATAAATTGCTGATTACAGTATTTTTGTGTCTCAGACTTCCTTTGTTATTCTGTATATGAAGTTGCTTTTTACTTGACCCTTGATTAAGTTAAATGGTCTATTTTGTGCAGCAATGACACACAATAACATTTTTCTCCTTCTTAAAATAGATTTGGACTAAGCAACAAGTTTGAATCAGAATTCCCTTCTTCATTAACTGGAAAAGTGAGTGTCTGTTAATTATTTAGCTGTCTCAAAACTAAAGTCTTTTTCTAACAAATTAGGAAAAAATTTATGCTGATGATGCATGTTTATTGACATTAATATTATGGTGTTGTTTTTTTCTTGAATTTTTTTCTTTAGGTAGCTCCTGAAGAATTTAAAGCCAGCATCAACAGAGTTAACAGTTGTCTTAAGAAGAACCTTCCTGTTAATGTACGTTGGCTCCTTTGTGGCTGCCTTTGTTGCTGCTGCACATTAGGTTGCAGTATGTGGCCAGTTATTTGTCTCAGTAAAAGAGTAAGTTGAATTATATATTTTAACTTAAATTTAGAAGTTGACAAACAAGTCTTGCATTTATCTATTTCTGTTTTTTGTATTGAATTGAGTCACAGTATCCTGAACAGTATACATAAATAATCTGATCCAGCAGAAGATTAATTATATTATGCTATGTTTCCATGCTGTTTATATTAAATAGCGATCTAAAAATGATACTTACAATGTTTATGTCATCCTTGAGAGTGGAGTAGAATGCAGCATTCTCTATACACACACATGCACGTTGGTGGTGGTGGAGGGTAGTGATCTAGAATGCTGGGTGTGGCCATGTCGCTTGTCTTTGTGACCTCAGCCATGTTTCTTAACCTCTTAAACTCTTGTGATAGATCTGAAAAATGGCAATATTCACCTACGCGCTTAAATAGGTTTGTTGTAAGAGTAAAATGAATTAGTATTTGTAAAGCTCTTAGCTAAGTAGCTCAAAGTGTCTAATAAATATTGATTAATAGCATTATTACTAATATGTAAGATAATACCCATAGAAGAAATTAAATGGCTACAATTATTATTTATAATTGGTAAGATTATGGGTAATTCTGTTTTTTTCCCTTTGTATTTTATAAGTTTCCTGTGGTGAATACATAGTGATTCAGTAATCAGAAAAAATTGTCTAAAGAGTTGTATTTTGAGTACTTATAATTAAAATTTCTAAGTTGTTGGTAGAGATATGAAAAATTAGTATAGATTGAATGTATTACATTTTTGTTAAGGTTTTTTTAAAACTATGGTCATTATATGTATAAAAATGAACTACTGTGAAGTTGAAATTGAATGAATGGTATTTTATAGCTACATTTCATTTTGTCATCAAGAAATGATAAGACATGTAGAAAAGCAAATTCTATTTGCCCCTCAATTTTTGTTGTAAAGTAAGGTATTTCTGCTGAAAGTATTTTGAACTAGTACTTTGTAGTGTTAGGAAAGAGATTAATGCCTATGCCCCTTTTCCCCCCAGTACTTCTCATCAGATAGTCGTCAGACTAAAGAATTTTTTTTTTTTAAATTTCTGGTTCTTACTAGATTTATAGTTGAATTTGCAGCTCTTAAGTATAGATCTCCTCACTTCCAACTGTTTGACTGTTTCTGTTTGTTTAAATGACTACTATACCTGACTTGGTTAGTAATTTTTTGTCAAATAAACACAAAGAATCATTTCAGATCCTCTATTTTTTACTTTTTAAAACAATTTTTTATTGAATTTATTGGGATGACATTGGCTAATAAAATTATAGTTTCAACTTTACAATTCTATAAAACATCATCTATAGATTATAATGTATGTTCACCACCCACCCAAAGTCAAGTCTCCTGCCATCACCATTTATGCCCCCCGTTGCCCCCTTCTACCTCCCCCCACCTCCCTTTCCTTCTGGTCATCACCATACTGTTTTCTGTGTCTACAAGTTCTATTTGTTTGCTTTTTTATTAATCACTTTACCTTTTTCAGCAGCTCCCAGCACCGCTGCCCCCAGCTGTCAGTCTGTTCTCTGTATGAGTCTGTTTCTATTTTGTTTGTTATTTTATTTTGTTCATTAGATTTCACATGTAAGTGAAATCATATGGTATTTGTCTTTCTCTGACTGACTATTTCACTTAGCATAATACTCTCCAGGTTCATCCATGCTGTTGTAAAAGGTAAGATTTCCTTCCTTTTTATGGCCAGGTGGTATTACATTGTATAAATGTACCAGAGCTTTTTATCCACTCACCATCTGAGATCCTGTTGTTTTTCACTTTTTAAATGATTAAGTAAGATATTGCAATGTGTGCACAGTATGACATGTAGAAAATAAAATGTAAACTTAATCTTTTTAAAAATATATTTTATTGATATGCTATTATAGTTGTCACATTTTTTTCTCCCCTTTTTTCTCCCCCACCCTGCTTCCCCCTTTCCACTAGTATTTCCCCCACCCCTTAGTTCATATCTGTGGATCATACATATAAGTTCTTTGGCTTCTCCATATCCTGTACTGTTCTCAACCTCTTCCTGTCTATTTTGTATCTTCCATTTATGCTTCTTACTCCCTGTACCTTTTCCCCCATTCTCCTCCCTTCCCGTCCCTGCTGATAACCCTCAATGTGATCTCCATTTCTGTGAATCTGTTCCTGTCCTAGTTGTTTGCTGAGTTTGGTTTTGGTTTTGGTTTTTTATTTAGGTTCAGTTGTTGATAGTTGTGAATTTGTTGTCATTTTACTGTTCATAGTTTTGACCATCTTCTTTTTCTTAGATAAGTCCCTTTAACATTTCATATAATAAGGGCTTGGCGATGATGAACTCCTTTACCTTGACCTTATCCGGGAAGCACTTCATCTGCTCTTCCATTCTAAATGATAGCTTTGCTGGATAGAGTGATCTTGGATGTAGGTCCTTGCCTTTCGTGACTTCGAATACTTTACAGCCCTTTTCTCCAAGGTTTCTTTTGAAAAATCAGCTGATAGTCTTGTGGGAACTCCTTTGTAGGTAACTGTCTTCCTTCTCTCTGGCTGCTTTTAAGATTCTCTCCTTCTCTTTAATCTTGGGTAATGTAATTAGGATGTGCCTTGGTGTGTGCTTCCTTGGGTCCAACTTCTTTGGGACTCTCTGAGCTGCCTGGATTTCCTGGAAGCCTATTTCCTTTGCCAGATTGGGTAAGTTCTCCTTCATTATTTTTTCAAATAAGTTTTCAATTTCTTGTTCTTCCTCTTCTCCTTCTGGCACTCCTATGATTTGGATATTGGAACATTTAAAGTTGTCCCCGAGGTTCCTAAGCCCCTCCTCATTTTTTTGAATTCTTGTTTTTTTATTCTGTTCTGGTTGAATGTTTATTTCTTCCTTATTCTCCAAATTGTTGATTTGAGTCCTGGTGTCCTTCCCTTCACTGTTGGTTTCCTGTATATTTTTCTTTATTTCGCTTTGCATAGCCTTCACTTTTTCCTCAATTTTGCAACCATTCTCAACCATTTCTGTGAGCATCCTGATTACCAGTGTTTTGAACTGTGCATCTGAGAGGTTGGCTATCTCTTCATTGCTTAGTTGTATTTTTTTCTGGAGCTTTGATCTGTTCTTTCATCTGGGCCATATTGTTTTGTCTTGGCACTCCTGTTATGTTATAAGAGGTGGAGCCTTAGGTATTTGCCAGGGCAGGGCAGCCCACGTTGCTGGGTTGTGATGCAGATGAATGTTTCTTCTTTAACTCCTTGGTTGTCAGACTCCCATATAGTTCAATTTTATGGCAGTTCTGGTTATTTTTTGTTTTTAAATTTGTTGTTATCTTTCTTTTCATTGTGTGAGGAGGCAAAGTGTATCTACCTATACCTCCATCTTGGCCGGAAGTCCCCTTTCTTTTTTTTTAATCTGAGAAAGATGAGGCTAACTGATTTCTCAGATAGAGTCCAGCTCTGAAAATCTGTAATCCTTTGAAAATTGAGCTGTGTAGGTATACAAAACATCTGTTTCCAAGCTTTAAGTAAAGAAGTTCTCAATGTTGATTTTGATTCCAAACCTGAAGAATTAACATTTTAGTAATGTATTTTCATATAGATATTTTAGTTGTTTTTTGAGGAGGCAAGGGTTTCTATGAGGTTTTTTTTTTTAAGGTAATTGCTGTTTAGCTTTTGAAACTTGGATGAAAAGGGCCTGTATCCAGTCTGACTGCATTTCTTTTGCTTTAAGTTGTAGCATTCTTAGATTATCTTCTGGATCTCTTTTCTCTCAGTCTCAAGCTTAGTCATTCAATAATTGTGAATTACTTTGTTTGGGGTATGGTAGGGGATGAGAATCCAAAAGGGAGAGGTCAGGATTAGAGTTTTTTCCTAATATTTACATCCTTTCTTGAAACTTGTGTATTTCCCCTTAAGAGAGGTTGAGAATGCCATATAATGAGTTAATGCAGTGGGAGAGGGACTGGGGTTCTTAACTGAAAGTAGGGTTGGGCTTTCTATATCTAATCCTGGGTATTTAGTTTGTGGTTTCTTGCCTCTTCCTCAGTATCTCCCATATTATAAAATGCAGGATAAAGACATAGGTTTAACCTCTTTGAAAAAGGGGTCTCATGTCAAAGATTTCTCATAACCAGAGGAATATATTTATTACTATTTCATTTTAAAGAATATTTTAGGTTTGAAATTTGGGAAACTGATTCTCACATAAATGAAATTAATTATAGTGATTAGTGTGAATGACAGTGACAATTTGTTTTTTGTTGTTTATTTTTATTTTTTGTCCTCTCCTAAGGACATGCATACTGATTTTAGAGAGAGGGAAAGGTGGGAGAGAGAAGGGAGAGAAACATCAGTGTGAGAGAGAAACATCAATCGGTTGCCTTTTGTATGCCCCCTAACCTGCAACCTAGGCATGTGCCCTGACCAGGAACCGAATCCACAACCTTTTGGTTTATGGGACATTGCTCCAACCAACTGAGCCACACTGACCAGGGCCCGACAATTTGTTTTTAATTGGAAAAAAATGTTAATTCTCAACATGAAAGAGGATACTCAAAAGAGTGTAAACTTTGAGCCTTAAATGTACAGAGGTGGCACTGGGACTTTAAAAATATTTTAGACTTCTTTGAAAATGTGTTTTCCAAGAACTAGCTGAAATTCAGTGTCTCTGAATATTTAGAAGATAGTATTGTGGTGGTTTGTAGAAAGATTTGCCTAGCTTCATCAGTGTTTACCCTGCTGTTAATCCAATGAGTTCTTAATTTAAGGTACTATATTTTTCAGTTCTAGAATATCCATTTGATATTTTATATTTTAGAATCCAATTTATAGAGTCCAGTTTTCTTTTGAAATTCTTTTCACTTGTTTTGTTGATCTTTTTTCTCTATTTTATTGAACATATTAATCATAGTTAATTTAACATCCTGTCCACTAACAATGATACATGGATTATCTGTGGGTGTGTGTCTGTGAGGTTTTTTTGGTCATTGGTTATTGGTCATATTTTCCTGCCCCTTAAACTTCAAAAAAAAAAT